CAAGCAATTCTATCCTCATAACAAGAAACTGTACTAGCATACAATGCTAAGCTCATACTATCAGGCATAACCTAAACAGGCTATCCTACTGCTGTCTACTCAATACTAGCATGCAATTCTCATAAAGCTGAAACACATATAACAGGCACATAAGGCATCCTCCTAGATCCTTAGTCCTATTCTAGCATGTTGTTCTACTGAAACTTGATAACATAAACTTGTATGGGTAATTTGGGAGTACTTACTTGAGCTCGGCTGATCGCATGCACCACACCCTTTTCTCTTTTCAAAAACTCTTTTCTTTTTAAGTTTTCTTTTTCAAAAATTCTTTCAAAAACATTTTTCTTTTGAAAATCTTTTTACCATTTCCTTAATTTGAGTCCAGTCACACCCGAGAGTGTACCTGAATCCCTCAAACCAAGGCTCTAATACCAACTTGTAACATCCCGAAAATACGACCCAAAAATTTTTGTTTTAATATTACTAAAAATCACATCATCGAATGACATACGTACTAAGAACCATAGAATGAGTAACTCAAAAGTCAAGTAACTGTGTCAAAACAAATACTGTATCAGTCGTATCAAAATATCTGAATAAAACTCCCAGGATAAAACTGAAGCTGTGGTGTGTGCGATGCCATCATCCCGAGCTCTTCCCCTTACTAGCAGAAGTACCTGAAACCAAAAACCTGAAACTGTAAGCATAAAGCTTAGTGAGCTCCCCCAAACTACCACATACCATACAATAACATATAAAGCAACTACTGGGCCTTGCCCACTGCATCGGACCGAAATCCGGAAACTGCATCGGACCGAAGTCCGGAACTAACCAGGGCCTTGCCTTCTGCATCGGACCGAAGTCCGGGAACTACATCGGACCGAAGTCCGAAACTAACCAGGGCCTTGCCCTCTGCATCGGACCGAAGTCCGGAATTGACTGAACATAGCATAGCATAATCATAACTACTAGCATAAACATAGATATTGTATACTGCATCGGACCGAAGTCCGGAACACATAACACAAGACATGCTTGAATCACAAAGACATCAAGCACACTGAACTACTGCATCGGACCGAAGTCCGGAACTACTGCTAACTAAACGGGCCGGCATTGTGGTCGTAGACCCGTTCCTACTGGAAGGAAACTCACCTCGCAAAGCTGGCTGCTGAGATGCTAAACCTGAAACTGCCTGACTGCTGCTCCGGAACTCCCCGGCTACAAATCCCATAAACACTAAATCAGAAACTGATAACTACTCTCAGGGTAAAATGACTATTTTACCCCTGGTCAAAGTCAACATCCTGGTCAAAGTCAACTTTCAGTTGACCGGACTCGCCGAGTTGGGCCGCCAACTCGCCGAGTCCCTATCATCCCTTCTAATCCTCTACCCGCTTCTACTCGTCGAGTTTGGCAAAGGCTCGACGAGTTCTTCTTCGATACTAACATCTAGTTCATCTTCATCTGACTCGCCGAGTTGTATGAACAACTCGTCGAGTCCTCCTTCATCCTATGAATGAGATCAGTCCTTGACTCGCCGAGTTGTATGAACAACTCGTCGAGTCCCTCCACTACTAGATCTGAGCCTTAACTCACCGAGTCCATTACCTACTCACTGATTTCACCATAAATTCTCAGATGGGGAAAATCGGGGACTCGCGACTCGACTCGTCGAGTCTGAAGAACGACTCGACGAGTCTCATGCATGTCATTACTAAACAGTCGATTCTGCTCGAATCCAGTGCATTCCATTCATAGATCTAGGCTCCTAGGGCTGGTTTTTCACGTAAAGTTTCTAACTTTACGTGCATGCATGCTAATATGAAGCTTAAATACCCAAAATAAGCTAAAGGAAGAGATCTAAGCTTGGAATGGAAACTTGGCTCAATAAAGGTGGCAACCTTGAGCTTGAAAAGCTCTGGAAAGCTCAGATCTGAAGTCCATTCAACATATTAACTCTTAATTCGACCTTAAATACCCAAAATAAGCTAAAGGAAGAGATCTAAGCTTGGAATGGAAACTTGGCTCAATAAAGGTGGCAACCTTGAGCTTGAAAAGCTCTGGAAAGCTCAGATCTGAAGTCCATTCAACATATTAACTCTTAATTCGACCTTAAAGTCTAGAAAGGGCTCAAAATCAACAAGAGTAAACTTCTCAAGAGATCTAATTGATAATAAGAAAAGATTCGAGCTTGATACCTCAAAGGGGACTGAAATGCAACCAGAAGTCCGGATCTACTTGCTCCCCTTGAATACTTCTCTTCTCTCTTCTTCCCCCAAACCCCAAGATGCACTAAAACCTTCACAAGAGAGAAAATGCTCCAAAAATGCTTAAGAACGGCTAGGGTTTCGTATGGGACTCTTTGTGGGTGAGGGAGGCTGGTCTTGGGGCACATAAGATGTTTAAATAGGGTGCAAACCCTTGAAATTAGCGTTTCATCCAGACTGGCAGACTCGCCGAGTCCGGGAATATGGACTCGTCGAGTCGCCAACTTGGATCGCGTGCAAATCCCGTCTCTACTCGACGAGTCGGGCTACTGACTCGTCGAGTACCCCTTAAGAAAAGAAAATTACTTTATTTAAATCGCATACCAGAAATGGGGCGCTACATTATCCCTCGACTTGACCGCTAATAGAACCCTTTCTCTAGTTGATCTCTCATATCGTTGGCACCCTAAATACTCACCGGAAATGTCACTGAAAATAACATCACTCGCATTGACCACTACTGATATTACATCCTAAAAAAATACCCACTTGATGCATTTTTCATAAAAAAAAAACAAAAAAACAAAAGCTCAATATCAAACCATTCAAACTAAAATCACATAAAATCCATATAGAACTTAGAACCTGAAATCCATAACTCAATAAATCAAAATCTCTCATTTTGATATGTTGGTTTTGTGGGTTTCAAGAAAGCTCTATGTATTTTTGAGAGATGAACAAGAACAAGAACTCCTTAGTAAGCAACATCAAATCAGAGTGGCAATCATATCCAAAAAATTGAGCCCTAAACCCAAAACAAAGTAAAAAATGTATGTGTTTTTTTTAGTTGACAATCTGGTCAGATCAGGGTGTACCCCCAAAACGTCGGTCGTTGTTTCAGAAAGAGACGATGTATAGAGGTAGTGGAGGATCCAGTTACATGTCATGTCGATAGAGGGGCAATCATAATCACCCTCAATGTCGCTAACACAGAAATTAATGATATCATGAGTTATCTCAACATTGATTTCGGCGAATGGAACGGTTTGCTGATGTCCATGGGGGTCTTTGAGGGTGTGCGAGGTGGGCGACCGCACATGGTGCATATCGTGGAAGGGACCCAATTTTTACATACAATTCTATAGTAAACTACTAATCCAGTCCCGAAAAAAAAATCGATTCAAAGGTATCATTACCAAGCCAAAGTCGGTTTGATTATCGCCAATCCAAGTCGAAAGTCACTACGACGCTACTCCAACTCCTGAACTCGCTAAGTCATTGAGTGTGTGTGTGTTTGATTGTTGATTAATTGATTATTTCAAAATAAGTGCACCATCTTATTTAGAAATCAAAATTATAAGTTTCAAAATCTAATAAGATCACTTAATTTTAGAATCGCTTCTAGCTTTCAATTTTAGATTATTAATTAATTAATTATTTCAATTTCAGAAATAAGAATCAGTTTTATGAGAAAATCCAATGCTCACATATTGTGTTTCATTTTCAGAATCGATCGACTTCTATTGTGGCTTGTATGTTTGTTTGTTTCAATTTCAATTGATGACTTCTCTTAAAATAAGATTTGAACAATACAATAAGTATGAAAATAATTTTGGTTTTTTTACTTCCAAAAAAATTGAAGGGATTTGATAACAAAGATCTTAAGTTGGTTTTTTTACTTCCAAAAAAATTGAAGGGATTTGATAACAAAGATCTTAAGTTGTGTTGTAGCTATCTTAAAGTCGCACTTAAGTATGGTGAACGATTAGATATTGACACCAATGAAATTTATTTGGAGTTAAAGTTGGTTGACGAGTTCTTATCGAGTGAAACTACTACACCCACCGATGTTTTAAAATATATGAAAAAAGTAAGTTGTTTTCCTAATGCAATTAATGCATATAGAGTCTTGTTGACTATTTGTAGCTACGTAAAATTAGATATTATATTATGTAACATCCCAAAAATAGTGTTTTTTCATTTTTAAAATCATCAAAACCATACATCATGTGTCTCAAAACCGACATAATACAAATGTATCAAAAACATCAGAGTAAAATAATCATTGATGCGAAAATCATAAGGCAATGTTGTACGATCAGGCTGGGTCCTTCCCTTTCGAACTGGAAGTACCTAAAAATGTTAAACCACAAAACCGTAAGCACAAAGCTTAATAAGTTCCCCAAAATACCACATACCATATAAATGGACCCAGTCCGATATATAAATATGTGGGCCCATCCAACATATATAAATGGGCCCAACCCAACATATATAAATGGGCCCAACCCAAAATAATAATGGCCCAACCCAACATACAAATGGGCCTAGCCCAAGATACATAAATGGGCTCATCCCAACATACAAACGGGCCCAATCCAACATAATAATGAGCCCAACCCAACATACAAAAACAAGAGTCACAAAGACAACTAGCCTAATCCAGTGGGTCAGCATTGATGCCTTCGACCCACAAGTATAGTGAGAAGACTCACCTAGTTAATGAAGTCAAAAGTCAATGGCACGCACAATCAGGAAATAGGTGCTAAACATGTCACACCCCCGAACCAGACGGCGGAAACGTCCGGGGGCTTGGTGTGACTTTCAACATTGTAGTATCATTACAGAGTATATAATTGAAACATAACATCATCATCATCACACATGTAATATAACAACATTCATTGTTTACATCGAGTATTGTATTTGAATATTACATGCCAAAATAGTAAGAGTATGATGAAACAAAATATAACACAATATCCATTAGTTTGTTTCGTTCATCCTGCTTCAACGGTTTCCTGAGAATACAAGTTAATTTAAAAAGGTCAACATAAAAATGTTGGTGAGTTCATAAGCATGTTTGTGAAAATGATTTGTATAACTTTGAAACCACCAGAAAATCCTATATTTTCTGCAAACTGTTTAGTATGTTTGCGTCAGATCTTGTATTAATGCATGTATGTTATTGTTTATTTGACTAAAAGGGTAAAGAGAATGTAGAGAGAATGTAAAGAGCATGTAAAGAGAATGTTCCCAGACAACCCGATGTTGTCTGTAAAAAGAGAAAGCTGTCTTACCAACCCCCGAGGTTGAGTACCAGTGAGAGTATGTTTCCAAGTAATCCAAGAGAAAAGAGAATGGTCTTCCGTAAACTTCATAACGTTAATTCCTCTAAGTGAGCCGTCATAACCATACTAAATAATGACAATTTCGTCTGTCTTGGCGTTGTTGGACGCCGGTTTTGATTATAAGGTTTTCGTCAATCTAGACTTAGTTAGTCTAACTGTAGCGAACAGCTCAGGTGTGGGGTGTCATCCCCGTATAGATCTATACACAAATCCCCGCTCTCCCTCCAAGAGACTCTGGTTATAACTACAGGCTACGATCGTACACTTAATAGGTGCCAACCGACAAAACTCACTAGATCCTTAATCGAATTTACGCGAAGAAAAGTAGAAACTCATTCCAGGCCCAATGAACCATGTAAGTGAACCACTAAGGCATCGCTAAACATGTAAATCATTTCAAGGCCCAATTGGAATGAGATTATATAACATGGGCCCGAAATATATATGAAAGGACAACTAAGGCCCATTTCACATGTAAGGTATTTACAGGCCCAAATACCACACAAATAGTATCCAAGGTCCGTCGCACATGTTAATGGGTCAATGAGGCCCAATAAACATATAAATAGTATACAGGACCTATCAAACATATAAATGGGCCACTAAGGCCCAATAACCTAGAAAATGATCAAATTAATTCGTTTGTTAGTTTATCGTTGGTTTTGGTTCAAGTATTCACTAAGATAGCATAAAATCCCACTTTTTGTAAAAATGACGTTCTTGGCCCAATAAGCCAAAAATTTACAATTAAGGCCCAATTTTTGTAAGAATAACACTTTAGTCTCCATTTTGTTCAAAACTTGTGTTGATGACTAGTTTGTGGTAAAAATAACATTTTAAACCCATTTTTGTCAAAAATATCATTTTTGGCTTGATTTTTGTGAAAACACACATTTTTCTGGTTTTGGGCTTTTCTGACCTAGTTGTTGGAAAATTCGTAGAAAAATCATCATAAGTCCAAATTTGGATCCGTAAATTCTGGAAGTTTGGAAATTTTGTTTACTTTGTTCAAAAATTTTCTCATAATTTTTAATGGCTTCTAACAAGTGTGAAATTGCTCACCTTCACAGGCTGGTCCGAAATTATTTCAAATCTGATAGGCAGTTTTGTAAAATTCGCCAAAAATTGTAGAAAAATCGTATGAAAACGTGAGAGTAGTCATTTTAAAGATATAAACCTAAAGTTTTTTCATGTAAAACAGTTTTGAAAAATATTATAATTTAGGTCGTCAAAACAGTTCGAGATTGGACCAAAACTTTTCTGTGAAGGGCTGATTTTTGAGTTTAGTTTATAGATCTTGGAACACAACACTCATTTTTACTATTTTAAGTGTATAAATCTCAGATCTACTAGTTTACATGTATTATATGTGATAACACATACTTTTCTCAAGGTTTTCATGTAGATCCAAGTGATAAACTTAATATTCTTAACATATTTTTAGATTTATGAAGTAAATAACACATAACCACCAAATAAATCATGAAAAACACACATATTCATGCACACACACATAGATCTACACAACACAACTTGTATTCTCCCCCAAAAAAAGTAAAAATCGAAAATAGGGGGTATGAACTCACATTGGGGTGATGGATCGGTTTTGGTAAAGAAGTGGAAGAAGATTTTTGATCCTAGCAAGCTTTCTTGAGTAGATCTTGAACTTAGATGGTTCTAAGAACATGATCCACAATTATATGGATGTAAGAGGAGATCTTTGAAGAGATCAAGAAGTTAAAACATAGATCCAAGCAAAAACTTACCAAAGATGATGATCTAGGTGAAGATCCTCTTGAAACTACACACCAAACTCGAAAATTTAGAGGAAGGAGGATGAGTTCTTGAGAGAAATGTGTGTGGAAATGAAAATGTGAGATGTATTGTGTGTGTGTGTTTGGCCGTGAATAAGAGAGGGGAGGAGGAGAGATGGTTTGACTTTTATCGATGATGTGATACACTCCTAGATACATGGTGGTTAAAAATGAGGTGGCAAGCTCATGATCCACCCTCATTTTCTTTTTTTTTTATATAAATCGATTTGGGCCAATTAATGGGAGTTTTCGGCCCATTAGACCCATTAGGGATAAAATGAATCAAGTTAGGCCCAAAAATAGTCGAATTGAAGGCCTATTGGCCCATTAGGACCAATAAGAAAATCCTAGTCCAATATAAACTTGAACCGAGATTTTTAGGGTTTTCAACTCATAATTGACTATTTGAAGTACTTTGTATAGAGTTTTGAACTTCACTAGTGAATCTTGATGGAATTTCTTGTCATTGAATGAGCATCATACATATTATCCAGTTAAGGTTACAAGGATTATCATAGTTAATGTTTACATGAACACAGAATTTCCTAGCTAAATTGCCAGTTGTGACAAAACACCACCTAGATCACCACACAAGATAAACTCTTAGGCTATCTTTCTAAAACCAGAAATTTGAATAAAAGTCAATGAGTCAAAAAACCCTCCAAGTCAATGGTTAAAATTGCCAACAACGACCCTCTACGTCGTGGCTTCCCTTTGCCCACGATGTGGGCACAAAACGGCAAAACATTCAATGATTCCCCAGTCGCCACGCCGTAGCAGCCTAAGACCACGTCGTAGGAACTGGTCTGAACAACTTAATCGAGCTTAATCTGTTTTCTTCCGATTTCAAGAGATCCAAAGCTCAGATCTGGTCATTTCAGAGGTCTTAATGGATAAAGTGTCAAACTTTATCCCATGAGACATCCCTCTAAGCCTATATCTAAATTCTAAGGTCCATAAGGCAACTTAATGCATGGGATTAGACCATTAACTACTTAATCCATGAAGTCTTCAATCTAAAACTTCCAGAATGACTTTAGGGACCCTAATGATCCCTAAAAATGGAAACTTTATGGACATGCATACCCCATACACGTCCTTTCCCAAATTAGGTCAAAAGATGCAATATAACCTAGAATTCAAGCAAGATTTCCAAATCACCACCATTTCCTAGATCTCTGAGATATAATGCTCTTAGGACATAGAGAAACCATAAAGTTGCAAACTTTATCTCTTTAACCTACACAAACCACATCAAAGGGACCATAATATGACATAAATCCTAGATCTAAGGAGAAATGCATTAAAAGATGGAAACTTGAGGAGTTACAAAGAGTTCAGAATATGCACAAAAGTGAAGGAGCAGCTTGTTTGTTGAATCAAGGCACCAACTTTTCTTCTTCTTCCTTTAAAACCACCAAGAACTTGCAAAATAAGCACAAAAGCTTCCAAAAGGACTAGTGTTTGCATAAGGAGTCGTTTGAAGGTGATGGAGGCTGAGGGTAGAGGAAACCCTAGCCTTAACTTCCTTTATATAGGGCTTAAAGTTCGAAATAGGGTTTGGCCCAAAATGTTCGCCACGTCATTGCCACTTAGTGTCACGGCGTGACACCCATTTAAAGTACGGTTTCAACTAATTTTCCACGTCGTGGTGATGCCATCACCACGTCGTGGACAACCAAGTTTTCATACATAAATAAAATTCATACCTCGGGATTCAGATGTTACAACCCCCCCCCCCCCACTTAAATCATACTTTGTCCTCGAAGTCCTCCGCCACAAACAACTCGGGGTAGTGCTCCCTCATCTCAACCTCAGATTCCCAAGTCCACTTGGAACCCTTCCGGTGCTGCCATTACACCTTCACTAGGTCCACTACCTTGTTGTGCAAGGTCTTAGTCTTCCTGTCGAGAATCACACTTGGTCTCTCTGTATAATTCAGGCATTCATCAACCTGAATATCATCCAAAGGAACCACTGCGGACTCATCCGCCAAACATTTCCGCAGTTAAGTGTTGGGTTTTGTATACTACAACATCATATGGTGCACATACAACCCTAAATGTTTTGGATCTATGTTTTCTCTAATTATACATGCAATATTGTTTCCAAAGCATTAAGCCTACAACTAGCATACAATTGACATAAACAACATACAAATGAGTTATAGAATTACCTCTTGTTGTAGCTTGTTGTGTTTTGGCCTTTAAGAACTTAGCACCTCAAGTGTGATGCCTCAAATGGTTCACAAACACCATGAACAAAGGAGGACTTGAGAGAGAGGTTTCTTATGCTTCAAAATCGGCTCTTATGAACTCTTAGAACACTTGTTGCAACCGACATGAAAGGTGTTGTGAATCCGACTAAGCTCGTCAGGCAGATCCACCCGATATGCCACCTTTCCCACCCGAGAAATAATCCTGAAGGGACCTATATACCTAGGGCCCAATTTGCCACTCTCTATGAACCGGATAACACCTTTCCAAGGTGACACCTTCAGTAGCACAAGATCCCCGACCTAAAACTCGAGGTCTGAACGTCGTCGGCCAGCATAGCTCTTCTGGCGACTTTGCGTGATCTACAACATATCATGCACCTGCTGTATCAACTCGGTAGTCTTGAGTACTACCTCATTACTCCCCATAACTCAATGTCCGTCCTCACCCCAACAAACTGGGGTCCGACACTTCCTCCCGTACAGCATCTCGAAAGGTGGTTGATCTTAATACTAGCATGATAGTTGTTGTAGGAGAACTCAGCCAAAGGAAGATAAGTATCTCAATGCCTCGCACAATCAGGAAATAGATGCTAAAAGCCACCTAGATCACCACACAAGATAAACTCTTAGGCTATCTTTCTAAAACTAGAAATTTGACTAAAAGTCAACCATCAAAGTCAACGGTAAAAACTAAGGTCAAAATTGCAAACATCGCTCCTCCACAGCATGGCCTCCTTTTGGCCACACCTTGGGCACACAACACCAAAACAGCCGATGATTCCCTAGTCACCACGTTGTGGCAGCCTAAGGTCACGCCGTTAGAACTGGTCTGAACAGCTTAATCGAGCTTAATCTGTTTTTTTTCAGATTTCAAGAGCTCCAAAGCTTAGATCTGGTCATTTCGAAGGTCTTAATGGATAAAGTTTCCAACTTTATCCCATGAGACATCCCTCTAAGCCTAGATCTATTCTATGGTCCAAAAGGCAACTTAATGCATGTGATTAGACCATTAAGTACTTAATCCATGAAGTCTTCAATCCAAAACTTCAAGGACTTTAGGGACCCTAATGATCCCTAAAAATGCAAACTTTATGGACATGCATACCCCATGCATGTCCTTTCCCAAATTACGTCAAAATATGCAATATAACCTAGAATTTAAGCAAGGTTTCCAAATCACCACCATTTCCTATATCTATGAGATATAATGCTTTTGGGACATAGAGAAACCATAAAGTCTCAAACTTTATCTCTTCAACCCACACAAACCACATCAAAGGGACCATAAGACGACATAAAGCCTAGATCTAAGGAGAAAGGAACTAAAAGATGGAAACTTGAGGACTTACAAAGAGTCTAGAAGATGCACACAAGTGAAGGAGAGGCTTGTTTGCTACATCAAGGCATTAAACCCACAAAGAACTTGAAAAATGAGCACAAAAGCTTCCAATAGGGCTAGGCTTTAAACAAGGAGTCGTTTGAAGGTGATGGAGGCTGAGAGTGGAGGAAACCCTAGCCTTAACTTCCTTTGTATATGGCTTAAAGTCCGTAAATTAGGGTTTGGCCTAAAATGTTCGCCACGTCGTCGCCACTTAGTGTCACAGTGTGGCACCCATTTAAAATGCACAGTCTCAACTAATTTGCCACGTCGTGGTGATGCCATCACCACGTCGTGGCCAACCAAGTTTTCATACATAAATAAAATTCATACCTCAGGATTCAGATGTTACATATTATCGTTATTTTTTTTTCTAATAATTATCGACTTATCATAGTATTACTAAATTTTGCTTATATATAAAAAAAGATTATGTTTAGGGGGCCAAGTTTATTTTTCACACAAGGACTTCAAAATCATCGAGACGCCCATACCGATGTCTGAAGCTGAAACCGAAAACCACACCGTTCTTTTTGCCACCGCCATTCCTGATTGCCCAGCAACTAAAAGTGAGTGTCTTGTAGGCTTGGGAGGTGTGTAGGTTGATGTGTGTCTTGTTGGGAACATTCACATAAAACTTAATGAAGTCTTTCAATTGGACTTTAAGAGTTTGTTTAGATTAGATTAGGAATGTTATGATTAATTTAAATAGCTTCTTTCGGTTAAAACAATTTGGTGCATAGAGAATACTTGAGTTTGTTAGTGTTTTCAAGTACCAACTTAGATAGAATATAACTTGAGCTAGAACCCTCTTATTACTGAATTTCTTTCAATTCAAATGCGTATACTTTGTTTACATTTTCTTTTATTCAGAACCCCCAATTTGACCATCATTTTACCTTGTGCAAAAAGGATTTAGACATTTGTCTCAGTGACTTTATGGTTCGATCATGTTAGTATAGTAGTGAATTATAAGTCATATTTTTACCCTTTTTATTTGTATGGCTAGAGACCCTTAGCACCAACCAAGAATTCATAGTCTTCATAAATCGCCTTAAAAAATTCATCATATCATCCCCCGCGTCATCAAATTCATGATTTTAAGGATGAAACCTATTAGAAGCTCTTATTCCCCTTTCCGATCTCAATTTTGTAATGTTTCACTTCTACTCTAATGAATAAATATATTTTTTTGTCACATGTCACATGTCACATTTTCATTCATTTTATCACATGTCATTTTGTGGTTATTATAAATTAATTTTTATGTCATTTTATGGTTTTTTTTCTATTTTATTAATTTCTACATGGTATTTAAATGTAATAACAAATGCATATTAATCTTTATTAATGAACTTTCTTTCTAATATCAAATCTACTAAATTAAAGCCTTATTAGTTTTTTTTGTTTATTTATCTAAATTATTTGTTTTAATTAAAAAAAAACACTTTAATTATAATAATTTAATATTTTGCTCATTTTTTTTTAAATTCAAACTTCTTAAATATTTAGAATTTCATATTTAATTTTTTTTTTGAAATAAACTCACATAATACATAGGTATCACGCCTAGTTTACTATAATTTTAGAATATTTACTTTGAAAGTTTTGTGCAGATCAACGGTTTAATAGGCATTTACCGTAATTTTAGAATATTTACTTTGAAAGTTTTGTGCAGATCAACGGTTTAATAGGCATTTACCATAAACCTGAGATCAACTAACTTCGTAATCAAAGTCTCAATATGGAAATTCATACTCCAACGATAAACCTCCTGTTTTCGCATATCGATGACCTTCCACATCGCCGGATCTTTGCAGATTTTCTTCCAAGTTGTGCATACTTTTGATGCGCTTTTGAGTATCTCTAAATAACTCAATCTTTGAAGTATATTTGCCATTAGTTCTTCAGGCAATTTCAGCCAATTTGGACGTCCCTCCATTGTTGACGACGACAGAGATAGATTGAAATCCGACGAACTTTCCATTATACAAATGTCTAGAACAGTAGAAATCGAGTTCGTTAGTCATTAAAAAACACGAATAGAAGACAGATCATAGTTAACAAATATGTATACTAATTTGTGGCGTATTATATTCAAGAAAATACATGGAAAATTAAGAAATCATAAGTAACTCGATATCTTGAGTTGATGGTGTCGATTGTGTAAAGAAACATAAGAACTCAAAAGAAAACCACATATGATTGATGAAATGCATATCATGTTATGAACAAGTTGCAGCATCGTAGATTTTAAGACACAATTTCAATTGAAGAGAATTTGTGAATAGAAAAAGATAAATAACACCAATTAATACCTTTTTGTCGACTAGAAATTCTGCATACAGTTCAAGTTGAATCGACGATGCAGGATTCTGGATGCAAGGAATGAAAATGATCGGATAGAAAAAAAGTTGAACTTCTTTCCCGGAATTATTCCCACGATTACGATATGCTACATAAATATCGGGGGAAAACTTGAAATTGAGGATGAATGGATTGATTTGTGTTTTGAAATGAAGTGTGGAGGGTTTGAAAATCAAAGGTTTACAGAAAGCGGGAAAGCTTTTTCATAGAAGTTTTCCCGCCATAACTGCTTTTAGATTATATAGTAAATTGCAGAAATGGGGGCCGAAACTTTCGTTTTAGATTATATAGTAAATTGCAGAAATGGGGGCCGAAACTTTCGAATAATTGATAGTTCGCATCTTTGTGGTTTTCAAAATTTGCAGTTTTGGTCCCTATTCCTGTATTCCATGTAAAAAGAACTATTTTGCTGTATTCCATGTAAAAAGAACTATTTTGCCATTTATAAAGTCTTTTTTATTTTTCACTTTTACCTATTTTTTTTACAAAAGCAAATTATAGTATTCAATACTTTGCATTTTGTCAGTCACTATTTTATTTTGGATAAATACATATTTATATAGGGCCGATGTGATGGAACCTAGAAATGATGAAATGGGAAAAATGGCAATCTACTTTGTTAATTTGTTTTACCAATAACATCCTATTTTGTTAATTTGTGTATTATAGCATCATACTTTAATTTCTTCATATTACTCTAAACAGTCTACCCAAATATCGCAATTTCATTCCTTTATGGGTTAAATACAAGAAGTAACAATATACTCTTATTGATTTGTTTATTATATCATTTTCATTTCTACCTATTACAACAATGTATTTTGAAAAAAGGATGCAATTATAGCATTGTCATCCGAATAGAAATAAGTACAATGCCTAAGTGAGAAAAAAACAAAGTACAATAATGTAGGCTGCTATAACCAAAAAAAATAACTTTAATTGGTATTGCAGATAGTTTATAATACTAATAAAAAATTAAGGATCAGAATGCAAGGCAGATTACAGTTAGAATATTTTGGAAGTGCAATCCATCATGAAGTTTTTCATATAAACCTACCACATGAAAATAATCGGCTAAAAAAACTAAAGAATAGCCCCAAATTAATACTTGGTCTTACGTTGAGAGACGTAAAAATAGCTGAAAATAAAATAAATCCACAGTGGAAGTAAACCATACATATCAATACACATCAATTTTAAGCACATAGACTTTGTGCTTCCATGATTTATACCCTTATATTCTTCCTAAACAATGACGGATATCAAGAAAATTACTAAAAGGAAGCAAAGTAATCACAATTCCACAAAACCCAAGAACCAACAAACGTAACTTTTCTGCTTTAACAAACGAGAAAACCTAAGACAAAAAATTCACTGAAACAATTTATAAAAAAGCTACCTGATGTTAGAGCAGGCGAAGAGAGAAATCAATGGAAACAAAAGCATATCCCAAGCCAAAGCCAAAGCCTAGATTTGTTCAAATATGAAATTAAACCCTACCTTCATCCTCTTGCAGCATATGGCGGCAAACAGTGGTAGAGAGAGGGTGCGATGGTGAGTGTGGGGGTGCGCGTAGAAAGATGAGAGGGTGAGTGGCGGTGGTGTTGATGGAGGTTGACGGATGTTTTTTTAAGCGAATCGGCGGTGGTGATTGAAGCAGGAGATACGGAGTAGAAAGGTAAAAAATCAAGGCTTAAAAGAAAACGTATCTCACAGAAATGAATGACGGGTAATTAAGGATTTTTGAGGCGGTGTAGTGGTAAGGCGAGAAATAAAGGAGGAAGATGATGTGGCAAAGGGGATGCGGTGTCAATTTGAAGTAAGATAACGTGGCGTCTTGAAACAAATATATTGGTATATGCGAATAGTATTTAAAAATGCGTGAAACAAAAAGTATTATAGTTTTTCGAAGTTATTTAGTATAATTTAAAGGAAATATGCAACACGTTCTATATATTTTGGCTTTATTTTTTTTTAACGGCTGAATAAATGTAAATATTAAAAAGACTCGGCTAGGAGCTCGGAACAGAAAATGAATAGGAATTTAAAAAATTTAGAAACATCACCAAAACACCTGATGGGCAATATCCAAATGGCTGAGAGATGTAACTATTGCCCAGTGAAGAGGATATCTAAGAGATTGACAATAGCAATAGCCAACTTTGAATAATAGCCTTTATTTTAAGGCCAATTACCCATACCATTTGATGACAGACATGAAGTAATGTATCATCGGGGCTCACCAAAAGACAACAGCGACGGAGGAATTTAAGACAGAAGCCAAGTTTAGATTTGCCTTAGTATATTCAAGAGTATAAGGCTTCATTGATACCAAATTTTTTGGAGCAGACAATCCATGCCTGCATGCAGTACAACGACAAATGACTTTATTGCTATCTCATCACCCATTAGGGATATTTTTTTGAAGAGGGACTAGTCTCCAACATCTACATATCCATGATCCTAGGTCGCAACTGATAACACCATCTCTTTATACATAGAGCCTGGTAGATAACTTCAATGCTTCCGCCACCCCATTGATAGGGGTAATTTGGTCAATACTTCCAACAGCAACACCTCCACCTTCTGATTAAGATGGACTTAACTGAAATGTGTTTACCTGCACTTGGAAGAATATTCCAATAAAAGAGAAGAAAAGAAAATCAAAGAAAACACTTACACACACCAAAACATATCCCCCAGACCCAATTCACACACGAAAGAAATCAATTAAAACACAAAAAATAATATCTTATGCAACGTATATCCTATTTGGTGTCTACCCTGAATTAAAAAAAAAACACACACACGCCAAACACACACTAGTTGCACCAAGATATGTCACCAAGTGACCCCAAATTATAACCCTTATCCCCACCCACCCCACCCTACCCCACCCAATGCGACACCAACATCAAACTTACAACCGATTAAAGTTGAGAAACTATGAACACCCCGACTAGAACACCATAGCCACATCACAAGACAACAAGTTTTTTTTTTGCCACGCCATCCCCACCAAGCCAAGGCTACTTCCCAAAAGCATATCACTTACGGTCGACAAATTGTATTGATTGGATCGAAACACTAGTCCTTCCATCCAATTGACCTATTTTTTAACCTTGCATTTATCCATAAGTGGGATATCGTTTGGATATTATTTGCTAGACCATTGTGAGATTTTATTTTTTCTGAGTGGGCCTTTGAATTCCTGTAATTCCAGATGACCCATATGTAGACTAGCATTATAGTTGACTGGAGCTGGAGTGTGATGTTTGATGTCCCATTTTCCCAAAACAACAAGTCTGTCACTGTCACTGATGTCAGGGAGTCTGGGAGTTTAAGCCACCAGGTTTTGAGACTATTCCAGACATCACAAGAGATTATGCAATTGATATGAAAGTTTTAGTTTTATTTTTTATTTTCTTAGTTTAACCATTTAAACTGGTAAATATTTATAAAATAACATTTATAACCTGTTAGTGTTGATTTTAAGGATTAAATTGAAAAAAGAAAATCAATGATGACTTTTTCGTTAATATAATTAAAGTTTAAAGATTTTTCTGGATATTTTTTTTATTTATACTAAAATTATTTAAAGAAAACTTATATTTATTTATTATAAAACTCAAAATAAAAATATAACTTTTTTTATTAAACAATACAATAATGTTAATTTATATATCATTTTTAGACTTTTTATAATTCTTTTTAATAAATATCATTATTACAATTATATATATCATTTTTAGAATAGTAATAGAAGTATATAGAAACAAAAAGTATTATAGTTTTTCAAGTTACTTATACTTTAATCAGAAGAAAAAAAAATTTAAACACACCAAGATTACAAAGTAACAAAGTATTTTCAATCATTTTGCGTGTTCGGCAAAACTAGTTGTTAGCGGTTATGGGTAGCGGGTAACGAGTAGCGTTTGATTTTGGAACGTTTTGTTGAAAACTACTTAGTGTATATAGCACCAGATTCTAGGTACGTATTTAAATTCAAGAAATGTTGCAAATTACTTTGGGACTCGGCGAGTTGGAGGCCCAACTCGTCAAGTAGACTCGACTTTTGATCGGGGGTGATGTGTGTAAAACCAACTAGTTTTAATCCTACTTTTTAAATATAAATTTAACACACAAAAGGCAGTGTACCTGTCAATTGGTGGTATAATTAAGCAAGCAGGGTATCGAACACAGGGAGCGGCAAATTAAACTAACTACTAGAATTATCTAAAAAGCAAATAATAAAATGAAGGGTTTTCTCTAGTTTTGCAAGACTAGAAAACTTAAATATCTAACTAAAACTCAAACAAAACAAATAACAGCTAGAGAGTAAAAATCAAATAAATTCAATGGTAAATGAGACTTTTGTTTAGGTTTGACTCATTTGATCCTATAGTTGATTTTATGAAAAGTGCAATGGATTAATTCTTCTTTGGCTACCGATTAAGGTGATTAGGTTCACGTTCGCTATTACTAGTCCTTAGAAAACAAATTAATCTAAGCAGTGGCCAGTTGTCTAAATTAATGAATTTCCTAGTTTATTTATTCGGGTTAAGTAAGACTTGTAGTGGTTAACTAAATTGGTCCTTCAATTAACCTCATGCTGATGGTTCGTCACACAAGCTCACACATTAATTTTCCTATTCTCTATTAACCCTAGTTTCACGTTCGCTATTCCTAGGCATATAACAATGTTTTCACATAAATCATATGAGATTAGCAATTAAGAGATGGTCATGCAACTTAATTACAGGCTAATTAATAGAAAATAGTCATAATTAACACATAAGGGTCTTTAACAAGCTTAGCAAAACAAATCACCAAATAAGAATAATCCAAATCATAAAATCAACACATAATCACAAAATTTGTCTTTCCTAAACAGAAGAAAATAGTCTTAGCTCATGATTACAGAAAAATCAAAGTCACAAACAAAATCTACTAATAAAAACATGGTTTAGACAAGAGATTGGGTAAGAGTAAACTTGATTTTTTTCCTTAATCCTCCTTAAGATTGAATGTAGACTTGATTCCTTGACTTCCTACGCTCCAGCAGTCCTTCAATCGAAAAGTATCCTCCAAGGGTTTCTTAGAAAAACCGGGTATCGATCTGAAAGCCCCTTTTTATAGATTAGAAGCGACTCGTCGAATCCAGGGACTGACTCGTCGAGTCCCTCATTAAATCCCCGTGTACGGCAAGGCAAGGACTCTTCTGCTTCGAGAATGTTCGTTGGAACTCGTCGAGTCAAGGGTCAACTCGCTGAGTCCTTCTTGGTTTTTGGCTCTTTTCTTCTTTCTTTGATTCCCAAGCTCCCGATAGCTTCTCCTGCTTCCTTTTGCTTCCGAGCACTTCTTATGAACTGAAAATATAATTTAAACGTAATTAAACATCTTTTGTTCCATAATTGCATTAAAATAGTCAAAAAGTATTAATATTCTTATACAAAATATATGACTAAATATGCACATATCAAATTACCCCACACTTGATTTTTGCTTGCCCACAAGCAAAACTGAATTTTAAACATACTAAAATCACATAAAGCAATCCTAATCAAACCCAGCCATTATGCCAAGACCTCAATGCATGCATTTTTGTCTAAAATTTTTCCTAAGGAACCCCCCATACTCTAAATACTCACAATCATCATAAACACTTGCCCACTTCTTTTGAACAACGCTCATTTTATGCATCCCTCCGAATCAATCCTTAGAAAACTTTCTTAACCTCAAGGTATTTTTGTAAAGCTACCCAAGCATACATAGTCTAGAGAATTACAACTTTTAGATACCACAATGGAGCTCTTGAATTCTTCACTTTCTTTGATATTTGATCTTCAATTTGTACTTTGAATTCATCACCTTTTTGTGTAATTTTTGGTATTTCAACTTTTGAATTTCTTCAGAATTTTTGATCTTTGATCTTCAAACTTTAAACTTGATAGCTCCAAAAATTCTTCAACTTTTTGGTAATTTCTCTCTCTCTTTTTTTTACATGTATATCTCACTTTTTTTTCACTCAAATCCTACATGCTTAAGCAAGGGTGCTTAACTTCAACCCTTATTGGTTAAGATACAAACCTTCCTGGATAGATTTCTGGTACACGATGCTAAACATATTGCATCCCTCAAACTAAGCGAGGTTGTGTTTTTGTCCCATGATTTCACTAGAATAATGGAGGCCACAAATGCATTATAACATATATTGGTTCAACTAAACATTTGGGTCCTCATAGAATCATAAAACATAATATTTTAGCATGAATCCTAATTGCTTTACCAAAATTTTCTAAATTAATCCTAGCAATATTAATGCAAATTTTTTTTTAAAATTAAGCCCAAATTAAGATTCTAAGTTATCTAATGAAACCAACCTCCTACCCCACACTTAATTCATGCAATGTCCCCATTGCATGTTATGCATGATAAAAAAAATACAAAAGTAAAGAAGGAATTGGAACAAACTCCCCTGGGATAGTAGTTGCGAGGTTGATCTTCTTCATTTAAAGCTCCATCTTCAGCTGAATTTAGACATGGGAACAACTCATCCATACCTTGGGTGACAAATCTCGTGTGGTTCATAGCTCTACAAAAAATGCAGGAAAGACTCTCGAAAATCTTCATGAATTGATCTTTATAAGTGCAACCAATTACTGTGTGAAATAATCATCAAATCATAAGCTTGAGAGATGAAATACGTATCAACTCGTCGAGTGCGAT